TGCCACTTGTAAAGATTCAAAATGGCTGCACCCTCAGTCACTTTAAATATCCAAAATGGACACTGCTTATAAACATTCAAAATGGCTGCACCCTCAATCACTTTAAATATCCAAAATGGCTGCCATGTGTAACAATTGAAATGGCTGCGCCCTCTGGACAGCAGAAAGTCAATAGCTCAGGTTGTCTCCCTCCTTGCTATTTCCCTTCCTAGTCATAGGCCACCAGCTCAGTCATCCCTGCAGCCTCTGGTGACCAGGGTTGAGCTTTAGGACAATCTCAGCTCCCAGCACCACTTAGAAATATTCAGGCTGTTGGTCCCATCAGAGTTGCTGACCATCCGCAGCTCCGACTGTCTTTGTACTCACTGTTTTCTTTCAGGTTTTTCCAGTAGTTGGTGCCAAATCCACTTTGGCATAGTTCCTTTCATAGCTCAGGGCTCCAGGATTATCTCCAGTATCTCTCTCAATTGTTTTTTCTTTTCTTTGTTGAAGAGGGTCTGTGTTGCTTCTCTGTCTGTTCCTCCATCTTAGCGCTTAAAATGTTTTTAAACGGATTTGTGCAGAACTAAAAAGTTACAATGAAGTTATTTTTGAGTCACATGATTACTGCTGTCAAATGAGACTTAGACTATCTCTGAAGAACGTTCTTGTGCTTATGCCAAGAGGCTGCTGGGATGGGTGTATTTTTAAGAACTTAAAACATAAACAACTGTGATCTGTGACAAGATTTAAATGATTTCATCATGACAATGAGAACAAAGCATTTTTAAGTCATCGTGGTGGTATGTTAATTCATTGTAATGTGTTTGTCATAGTACTATTTTGGTATATGTAGTAAGAGCCTTATTTCCTGAGAATAAATTTTATGAATTATTGTAGAGCTATAGCTCCATTTTTTTTTTTTTAAACTACATGAGGCACTTTGAAAAAGACCATCTATTTAAATCTTAAGTTTTGATTCATTTTCTGTTGGAGAGAATATCTTCCAGACATTGAGAGATCGAGGGGTTGGCTTGAAATAAGAATCCCTCCTTCATGATGGATCAATTAAGTATTTATTAAGTACTTACCCTTTTGTAGTGATGCCGCCTAGGAGGGGTCACTATGAATCGAATACGACTCTATGGTAGTAGGTTTGTTTTTTTATTTTTTGCTCTTTTGTCTGGCAGTATATTTAAACATGGTGTAATACAAAGAAAGATTACCATAAGCTACTTCTGGTCTACTTAGAAGAAAAGGTATAAACAGATGAAACTTACAAAGTAAAAAA